TCTCTTTTTTCAACATTTTTAAGAACTTATTAAAAAGAAGATCCTACATTATGACAGCAATGAGCTCATAAACAAAGCAAAATCATAGCAGCAGCCGTTTTTACCTCACAGTATAAGCGTAAAAACGTTAATAAAGTAACAACAAATATCAATTAAATCTATAAAGTAACAAATACATATTAATTATTACTCAAATTATTATTTCAGTCGTTCTTAATGTATCAAGTGTCTATATGCAAAGAAAAGCCCAAAACTATGGTTTTTATCATTAAATGAAGATATAGCCTAAAGATGCTTTGCAGGCTTTACAGCATAACCAGGTTTCATCCGCCCGGACCCCTGGGCAGTTGTCCCCACCCCTGTTGGTGGGCCTTTGTGAGGTTAGGATATACTGTGGGGTGGGGATAGTAGTACTTGCCACATCATTTTTGATAGGCTATATGCTAGTAATACTTAAAAACCACTCTATAACATTCCATAATAGTTCAAAAACCACTATAACATTCCATAATAGTTCAAAAACCACTATAACATCCCATAATAGTTAAAAACCACTACAACATCCCATAATAGTTCATAAACCACTCTATAACATACCATAATAGTTAAACAATATATAACATCCTATAACAGTTAAAACCAATCTATTGCACCACATAATAGTTAAAACCAGTCTATAGCATCCCATAATAGTTAAAAATCACCCTATAACATCCCATAATAGTTAAAACACTAACATTCCATTGAGGACACATTTCTATGTAGCTTTTCACATAAAAAAAATTCACACATAGATAAGTAATAATACTCAAGTGTATACCCTCAGGGTCCACTTAGTATGTGTTCACAATTTCAGGTTTCTAGGTTCTTTTCTCTTGGAGCTATGGCAGTAACATTTCTTTTCTGTGTGGTTTTTCGCATAAAAAGCAAGCATAGGCAAGCACAGTTATAGGTACTGGTCAAGTGGTGACTGAGAACTTTAACAACTAAATGAAATCCACCAACAGGAGCTGTTTCTCGAGCAGGTGAGACAGTGGGCACTAAATGGTGACCAAAAGACAGTTATGAACTTGCTTTCTCAACTATCAGGTGGTACTGTAGGTGTGATGTATGAACTAGACCAGTGATGGCAAACCTATGGCACGCGTGCCCAAGGTGGTATGCAAATATATTTTGCTGGCATGCAGCCTGCAGTGCCACCTCTTGATTCTGTAAACCCTAATGCTAACCCATAATAAATAAATATATTCATAATGATTATCATTATTCCCAAATGCAACAGCATATGATTTTTTCCAACCCGGGAGTAGTGAGAAATGTTCACAGAAGATGTCTCATGCCCTCTTGGCACCAGCTTTGCAGTTGCAGGAACATGTGGTATCGGATGACACGTTTTGAATTCCTTGCATACCCAGTATACACATCAGTGTTTGGGTAAAAAGTAAACTGTTGGCAATGTCTTCATTCTGCTTATATTTTTCTTCTGTTGTTTGTGAGTGAATACTGGATATTTAGTGATAATAACGGTAAATATGCATTTATTTTTTTGCAGTAAATATATGAATTATATTGTTAAAATTATGTTATTAAGTGTGGCATGTTTATATTTCTGACCAGTTAATTAATTAGTAATCAATTTAATTTTATATCAGTGACATAAATTTCACGTGCTGTTATGTTACGGTAATAAAATTATTATATTTAAGTTAATTGGTGAGATATTTTTAAATTGTATTTACCCTTTTCTGCTTGTTCAGAATGTCAACTCAACCAGCAAAGAAACAAAAACATTCAAATGGAAGGAGCAGCAGCAGAGATTTTCAAAATTTTTTACTATGACAAAATTGTTTTTATTACTTGTTACAGTCATCTAATGTTCATCTATTATTGACTGGTAATTCCTTTTTCACCCTGTACTTACGTTTTTTAAAGGAACACCAGATTTGTGTAAGAAAACTAACTTGAAGAGGTAATAATAACATCGTTCACACTAGAATTATGATTTTTTTTCATCTTATATTATGCACTACTTCGCTTAGTAACAGCTTGTTCCAAAGTGCTCTTAAAAAGCTTTTCTGTAATACTAAAGCCATTGCAAAAACTTCACATACTTTTTGGCTAGCATGGGAAAAGAAAAAAGAACACTTTGGCATTTTAGCTAGTTCCCAGTTCTCCACCTTAGCAACAGTTTTCAATGATATCACAAGCTGTGAGATACTCGATAATGGCAAATTAGGTGCTAAACCTTAGCGGTTATTTGTAAGCATCATAAAGT